ACAAGGTAATCGTACAAACGAAGCCATTATATTAATAAAGCTCCGAAGCTAGCAGGAGCGGATTTAATAATTAAGATTATGTAAGCGAGCCATGAAATGTCTTGCATGTGTACGCGTAACCGAGTAGAAACTGACGAGCATAACGTTTAGACTCTGCACCTAACAACTCCTGCTAGTTACTCGGTTAACTAGTTCGCTCGACTTGATGCATCCACAGAAAAAAATATATATTTGATATATAGAGAATCTCTCAAATTTCAGTAGGACACATATGTATGAGGAGTAGTTACCGACCCGGCTGCTAGCTGCAAGCGAGTGCTTACCGACGACGCCAGGGGCGGGGAAGGCGGCAAGCAGGGACCGAGAGGACGCAGCGGGGCACGGCAAGGAGGAAGAGGAGCCAGAGACGGCGGTGGCGGTGGTCGGCCGGTGAGTGCGCGGCGGCGTCACTCCTCCCTCCTCCTCCTCCTCGAGCGACGACGGCATGGCTAGAAAGCCCAGCACGGCCCGAAAAATGGACAGCCCAGGCCAAAATCAGGCAGGGCCAGCAGCCCAGCATTACGTGCAGGCCCACCAGATCTTTTTCCCCTGAAGGGAAGTGGCAGAAGCCAGGCCCACTAGATCCAGCCGGATGACGTCGATCATTCGATTCCAAATGCGAGAGGGCAGTCAGTTAAAATATATTGACTGGAAACAGAGTACACTTGTTTCATTTAGTCTAGTTACTAAACATGTTAAGCCTGATGAAATTTAAGCCTATTAGTATTATTTTTTGAACAAGTTCAGTGAATCTGTTGTAGATAGAAAAGAGAAAAACACACAAGCCCAACTGAACTTCGGATCCATGGAAACAAATGGCTCTGTTAGAGCCTCAGCAGAAGCCTCGAGCAAGTATATGTGAATAACACTGTGCTAATTCATCCCGGCTCCAAAACAAATCACATGTTAAAAAAGCAGTATGTTGTTTCTTGATGGAAAACCCCACAATACAAGGATTGAGAGAACAGTCATTAACTCAAGCATATATAGTAGGACCAAATTCTGCTGGACAAAAATCCAATAGCAAGTGGATTTAATGAATTTAGAGTATATATAACTTTTGGATAAAGAAATGATCGGCACATCCAGCATCCGTGTTACTTATTACAACAAATTGAGCCAGTAAGGCAAGAAGCAGCTGGTCCCCAGTCCCCTAATAGTAACTCAACAAGTCCAAAGCCCCAAACCATACTACCACAAGCGATGCTGCAGGTTCATCAGAACCAACAGCAATCAGCATGCATCTACACATATTATCAAGTCTGAAGTAAAAATAGTAGTGATAATTCTCGAGACAACAGCCTGCTCTGCAGCTGGATCCATGTCGTAACCATACGCTGGAGACGGTGGTGCCAGCTGATGAACGCAGAGAGACTGCAAAGATGCTTCAACGCTGGATCCATGCATGCTATGCCTGTCAAATCAAATTATTATTGTTAACTTAAACGTGCTAGAATTGACGTTAGTTATTAACATGGTAAGAGAGTATACACAAAAAAAAACGGGGGTAGCTAGGAAACAATACTAATTAATTAAATATGACGTACTCTACCGAAGTAATAATATTAATTAAATATGATATATGTATAACAGCTGGCGCAAACATAAGGTAAAAAGACTCTGTAGTCTGTACCTGGCCTAGGCACTGCTACTATTCCCATCCTCTTCTTCCCGGGGCTCATCGTCGTTGCCATCATCAAATAAATAACGCCCGTCAATCAGTTTGATGTTGGATACAGGGTGACCTGGGTGCAGGCCAGCCACGTCCCTGAGCGCAGACTCTGCAGCCCTTCGATTGGATCCCTTTGCAAATTCGCCCCCGATGTTTCCGATGACTTCCTTGAGGCCTGATAGGTACTCGATGCCAGCAGGCACACCACCATACCTGTCCCATCCCTGTGCATTGAAAAATAGCTCGAGCCTTTCAAGCTTCGGCATCGCCCCTGCCTCAAAGGCCAGGTACGATATCCTGAAACATTCAACTGTAAAATGCTTGAGAACAGGGAATCCTCTTCCACGGATGATGATCTTGTCTTTAGGAACTCCATGGATGTGCAAGTAGAGGCGGACAAGGGAGGGCAACTGTGAGAGAATCCCAACATCATCCCCATACACATCCTGAACAAAAAGCTGCAGGTCATAGAGGCTATGGTGCTGGCCAATCCACCCAGGAATCCTCGAGAACCATGAATGAAAGCTCTGGAGATGAATGAAAGAAGTTGGGACTGAACACCATGAATCTAAGCAGGCTCTGATGAGAGTGACAGGTAGGTAATTATTAAAAATAAGACATTTGAGGCTGCAAATGTTTCCAAGGGCGTGCACAAGTTCCCTACTTTTTGCTGCAAACTCGTCTCTATTGGTGGATGTGTTGTCAGAATAACTGATTTCAACATTTGTCAGATTTGTCAGTTCTCTCAGACCCTTGATATTGTCTAGTGAGTTTCTCAAATCAAAGCAACGTAGAGTACGCAATGATTTCATGTTACTGATCCCACTAGGAAATATTACTTTGCCTGGAACAATTAGATGCCATAAACGGCTCAAATGAACAATATCTGATGGTAGCTGCAGATCTGATTGTCCAGCATCTATTTCAAATGTTTTCAGTTGCTGCAGACGTCCAATTTTACTAGGTAACACCACATGACGACCACTTGCTATGATCTTTAAGAATCCCAGTTGAAACAAATGACATATTCCATTCAAGTCAAGTAACTCAGATGAATAGGGCCAACTTGAAATTTCAATCGTCAAAACTCGGAGATGCTTGAACTGTAAAATAGGAGGTAGATATAAAGAGGTACCAAATCTTGCTAGCATTCGTGTTTGGGATAGCTGGAAGGATCTTCCTACTGTTTCATCTATTGCACCATCCAAACTGAGTGAGAGTCGACGGATCTTTGCAGGCTGTCTTGTCAAATCTTGTATATCATCCATTACAGTGATAAAATTGTCTTCTCTGGATTTATATAGGATAAGATCAAGCATCATGTCATGAACCCCGCAAGACATCACCTCACCATTGTAGTCTCAGATTCACGGGCTGAATCAAACTCCTATTGATAAGCTCATTAAAATAGCTCTTTGCAATATCCTCTGGATCTGTCCCACGACCTTCACATATAAAACCTTCACTTACCCACTGTCTAACCAAATCATTCTTATTGATTGTGTAGTCCTCTGGATAAATGCCGAGATATAGCATACAAGTCTTCAAATAATGAGGAAGGTTTATGTAGCTGAGGTTTAATATTTGTCTCATGCCATCCAAGCTTGGGCTCACTTCAAAGCTGGAGCCCAGAGAGTCCCTTACATGTTCCCAGTGCTCCTTTAGTTTGCTTGGTTGGCTGGCTATTAGGCTAGATGTTGTAATAATTGCAAGTGGCAAACCACCACATTTTTTCAAAATTTGAGCAGACACTTCCATCAAATATGGAGGGCAAGCTTCCTCTGCACCAAAAATTCTTTTGAAGAATAAGCTTCGTGAGTCTCGGTCACTAAGGGCCTTCATCTTGTAAACACATTCAATGTTCTTAGCACAGCAAGCTCTGGCCACAGCCTCAATTGTGTAGTAGTTATTAATACTCTGCTGCCATTAATGTTCTCCGGAAGAGCACATCTAATGATATCCCATGCAGGAGCCTCCCCAGATGTCATCAATTACAATTAGGTACCGACATGTAAATGCATGCATGCAGATGTAGCGACCTTTAGGACAGTGTTAATGAAAACGTGAAAGCATCATAGCTAGAGGCTAGAATAACCACAACAAAAACAAGAACTCAGTCGAAAAACTTCAAAAGTGGTTATGTTGATAAGGGTTCCGGTTGAAAAGTTATGAGAGCAATGCCTTCTGTTTTTTAAAGTAACTATTTCTTAACACATAGTCTTAGTAGCCTATAGATGCTGGTGAGAACTAAAATGGTAATTTGAGGAACAGTACTTCGAGAATAGATATGAAATGCAGCAAAATTCTTATAAGAACTGTAATACTTTGTTTGTATGGTTTATTTGTTTTATATGTATAACAACTTTGATGATTCTAATAAAGTGCAAAAGTATTAAACATATAATCCAATTAATTAGAGTGTTAATTAATTGTACTACAGAAACATATAAACCTGGGTCTAAGGATACAGGAGGGACTCACTTCAACTAGTCAATCCTAGCCCACCCAGGCGAATGCCGCCTCTAATCGCCAGCCTCTAATCGCCAGCCCACCCAGGCAGAAGGTGCCAACCATAGGGCAACCCATGCCAAAGCGGAGCAGACGGATTGCCGCTCAGCCGCTGGCGCACATTCCGATCTCCAAGCGGGGCGAGGTGCTCCTTATGCAGAGGATGGGCTTTGCACCGCCGGCAGGTCCGATCTCATCCGCGTCCAAGAGAGCTTACGACGACTTTTTCGCAAGGAACTGGACGTCAAGCGAAGTGCAAGCGCTGGAAGAGCTGTTCCCGGCGACCGCTGCTACGATTGGTACAAGGCTCTTCTCGGATGACGGAACAGAGTCGCGCGGCCATTAGCGGAGACGCAAAGCTCCGTAGGTTACTGCGCTGCTCGTAGTTCGGTTGTTACTTTTATGTAATATCCAAGTTTGAAACAGTCACCTAGGAAGGTCCAGTCAAACTGTAAGACCTCCTAGGGCGCTCATTGGAAGCGCGTCGTGTGTATGGTTAAACTCTTCTTCTTCTTAATTACAATGATACGCAAATCTTTTGCGTATTCGAGAAAAGAAAAAAACTAGTCAATCCTATGGAAACGAGGTGAAAAGAAAAAATATGGACAGATTAGCATGTTGACTTGTTGACTACAGAATAGTAGCATGCTCAAGAAGAATGACATCTAAATAGAACAAACTAAAACACGGATGGTAGAGGCTGTAACTTTATTCCCTTATCTAAAAAAACTAAAACACAATAAACCATACTAAGCATAAAATTATTTCAACGCAGGCATACCTCTGTTTTAGAAGGAATTTTCGTAGCGCACTAATGAATTCTGTCTCTTCCCAAATTTCCATATTGGTGTCCATAGGAGCTACAAAGCCAACTTGAGATAGCATGGTTCTCAGAAGCTTCCTAATGTTTGGTTTTTGGGACACAGACACGAAGGCTCGACACTGGAACTCCCCCTGAAGCTTGCAATAAATCTCATTTGCAAGCGTAGTTTTTCCTAGGCCTCCAAATCCAACTATAGAGAGCACCATTAGCTCATCCTCTCCACCCATCAACTGAATCAGTTCATCTGTGGGGCCATCCATGCCCACAAGGCCAGATGCCTCTGCATACATTGCTAACAACCGAAGATCAATGGTTGTGTTGGTTGTCCTAGGGGCAACATCATTAGTCTGCTGGTACCTCATGCGTCGCTCCCTGACCTCGACGACACGGACCTTGAGGCCTTCAAACTCTTTGGCAATGTCATGCCGAATGTTCATGGTCGTCAACAACTTTGTGCTCCTATTTATGAAACCCATGAATCCGTGTGGCTTGTAGCTTGACTTGTGTTCCACACGGAGCATGAACTCACTGACACTGTCCTCAATATCATAGGACAGCTCACGTACCTCCTTGGCCCAACACTTGTCTTGCTCATCAGGCTGCTCAGTATCTGAGATCTTCTTGAGGAAGACATGCATGCTCTCAAGCTCAGCTTTGAGGAACAAGATCTGTCCCTTAGCTCCTTTGAGCAGCTTGTACTCGGCTGTGAGTAAATCACCAAGCTTCGCTATCAGGGAGCCCATAGCACCATGTGATGCGGTCACCACAGCAGCCTCCATTGATCGATTGGTCTTTCCTTTCTTGTGCTCACTCTGAATCTGAAGCTGACTATGTGGGAGGTTTTCTCAATTTCACTCCTAAATCAAACATCAAATCGATAGATCCAGACGCTTTGTTTATTATATAAAGAATAAAACTCCATCTGTCAATCTAGGTATAGGAAAAGAGAAAACAAGAGAGTAGCTCACTCACCACTAGTCGCGACTACTCAGTCCTCACGGCCTCTATTAATTAATTATTGCCTCTGGAAGTCTAGCTCCTTTCTTGTGCTTGATCGTTGTCAGTCTGACAGAGTGCAGCTCCCTCAGGAATGCGTTGTGAGGACAGACTAAGCAGAAAAGATGGGAAACGTGTGGACGATGCAATTTCAGTCACCTGAACTACTGTACTTTACTAAGAAGAGATCTATACATACGAACTTGAACAAAAGGAAAGGGATTTGAATTGAAGCCAACGTACGTACCTAGCTTTTCTTGGAAGAAGAGGAAAAACAATTAAGGGTGTTGTTGCATCAGGCAGCAGCAAGCCGTCGGCGAAACAATTAAGGGAAGGAAAAGTATGTCGTCTACTGCAACGACGGCATCCGTGTAGTCAAGTTGAGCGAGGGGAATCAGTGCTCAGCTGTGGTGTGGTGGGGGTGCATGCACCACACAAATTAGAAAGCCAGCATCGCACAAAAGCTAGCGTTGGTTCTCCGCAAAAGAAAGATTATTCTTCCTGTCCATCAATTATTGATCATACACGGAGTCTTTTGTTCCCCATTTCTCTTTTTTCAAAAGAGAAATCTGAGAAAACAAAGAACTACTATTTTATTTGCAAATAAATAGATTTTCTACATTTAAACATTGAGATGGTTCCCAGAAACAAACTGTGAGTAGCTACCGGATTCGTAGTATTCAGTTACAGAAGAACAACGCTTGACGTGTCTTCCCTAGAGCGTGCACACGGCGACACCAGGAGGAAAGGAGAGGTTTATTATCACAGCAACGACGACATCCGTGTGTGGTGTGAGTGGGGTGTGCATGAATTGTGTGGGTCTTTGCTCGTGCATTAACATATGCTACAACTGTATCCATACGAGAGGCTTCAAATCTATTAAGTTGAGCGACCGTGGGGAATCAGAGCTCAGCTGTGGCCCACACAAAAAGGCAGCCCCGCACAAAATTAAAGCTAACGTTGATTCATTTTCCACAAAAGAAAGATTCTTCCTGTCCACCAATTATTAATACTCGGAGGCTTTCTCTTTTTCAAAAGGAGCAAAATGAGAAAACATAGAACCATTGTTGCAAATATTTAAATAGAATTTCCGCATTTAAACATTGAGAGTGAAAAGTTTCCAGAAACAAACTTTGAGTTACCAGTTTCCCAGTACTATTCGGTTGCACAGAAGAACAGCTCCTGGTACACATGTACATGTACGCGATGGTACATATACATACATATATAGATGGATTATGCAAGACCGAGCAAAAGAAATGTACCGAGCTGGAGCTAGAGCGGCGGCACCAAATCCTTATTGGCGCGTGTGCATCGTAGCGATGCGTGGACACGCGTCAAGACATGAGTGTAGGCACATCGTCGTCTTCCACGTGCAAACACGCGTCTGGCGCAGTAGCCGTTGGGCAGGGACCTTTAGTCCCGGTTGTAGCCACCAACCGGGACTAAAGGTATCTCTAGTCCCGGGCGCAAAAAATTCCGGGACTAGAGCCCATTTTGGCCGAGGATCAAAGGTCTGTTCTCTACTAGTGCTGACTATGCCGGCGCACGTCGTCCCTTACCCGCCGTGCTCTAGGGGAAGTGCCTCAACTACCTGTCCTGGTCGCACCATGTCGCCACCTGCAAGCTGCCATGTCTCTATCTTCGGTGCTATGGTTTTTGGCACCTGGCGCGGGACTGTAAGCGGCAGTGTCCCGATATCGACGGTGGACGCAGGGCAGTGGGTAGGGATGGATGGAGGATCGTGCGTTGCAAGCGGCAGCGGAGGGTGCCTCCTGCTAGCTCCAGCGCAGCTACCGGAACTGATGGCAGGCGACGATGACTAGCCCAAGACCGTGCCTCGAGCACCAAGCCACCCGCCCAAGTCGACCCGGTGGAGTCGGGTGGGGCTATGCATGTGTTGCCTGTTGGTCGAGGGCGTCGGCGCCGACGCACGAGGTGCCAAAGACGGCCAGAGGAAGGCACTAGTGACTCCTCCAACGGCGGTGGGACCGACCATGACTTGTTGGCTAGCGGGACGTGCCTTCCTAGCTATGACCTGTTGACGCTGACTGCGTGGCCTCACGACGAGCTCTCTGGTCACGACGCATGGACGACCCAATGCTCGAGGAGTTCGCAGCCTCGATCGCCGTCGGCCGGATCGTCACGCGCGCTCCACTTGACCGCCTGGCTTCATCTCCGGCGGCCAACCAGTTGGAGGATAGGCCCACGATGGTGGTCACCTATGTCTGCACCTGCGGGTGGGAGATGCCGTCCTAGCATGCCGACTCGGAGCTGCGGACTCCACCTCCGCACACCACTCTGCGGGCAGCAAACTCCCCCCCGGTGTAGACTCAGCATGGGCAGACAAAGGTCACGCCATCGCAGTTGGTGCAAAACGCCCCCTCAGGCATTGATGCATCCACGGAGGACGAAGAGGGCTACCTGCTAGGCTTCGGTCCGGTTGACCTCACGGCGGATGCCTGCCCCCTCAGGCGCTCGTTGCCTCTAGGCAAGGAGTCCGGGATGTTCAGTAGCATTCTCTCGCTGACATTCCACGCTTGATCCGGGAGGGAGCCTGCCTGCCTCTCCAAACTCCTGTGCTTCAAGGCAGACCCACCCTCAGGGTGCCTCGGGCCCGACCCAGCGTCAGTGCACCTAGGAGGAGTACGCGCTTCGCTGCTAAACCTCGGGCGGCCAACTCAACTCTTCAGGCACAAGCGCACAACAAGTTCTTATGGCCAAGTTGGGGCTCGCAGTTCCAGCACAGTCCGTCGGCTCTACAGCTCTATAGAAGTTTGTGTTCATCTTTGCTGAACCGCTTTCAGAGTCCAAGCAAGAGGCGTTCAAGGTTCTGCTCCCTGACAACGCGAATACTTTGTCCCGGAGGTTGACACGCTTCTCGCCAAGCCGCCGAGTGCGACGTCGGGTGGCTAGGGAGGTTGTAGCCTAGCTGGCCTTTGATTGGGCGTCGGCAGGTTTCCTGCAGTTGTGGTTGCCTTTTTTTCCGTTGTAATCCTCAGCTTTTTTGGGTACTTTTTTTTTATTTTTTTGTGTTCTTGGTCCTCCTCCTCTTTGGTAATTTCGGCGCTTATCATTGATGGGGTAGATTGTAATGTTTCTCTACTTCTTCTTAATGAAATACGTGCCCAGGCATGGTCTCAAAAAAAAAAAAAAAGAATCAACAAGATCAAATGTTGGAAGACATATACTTTGTAATTTGCCCATTCTACATGGAAATGATTGTTTCGTCAGTTGTTTAGTGTAGTCAATTTAGTTACATTGGAAAAGAGACATTGCCCCCCAGGCTTCCTCTACCACTCGTCTGCAATCATCTTCCTTCAGCCAATTGGCCTCGAATTTGATAGCACTTGGGCTCTAAATCATTCTTCTAGCAGGCAGTAGCTAGTACATCTATTCAATTCAGCTGCCACTGAACCGTTGCAACGACGGATGGTGGCGATGGTAGTACACAGTGCTGAATCCCAAGATGAAATGAAGAGTGTGAATCAGCAGCGCCAACATGACGTACGAGCCTTTTTTTTTAATCTTACGAGCCATTATTCTTACGAGCCATTATTCCTTCAGCGCCAACACGTCTATAGTGAAGTGCCAAAAAGTTCTTGAGGAAGTTAAGCGAAAGTGCATTAAGAATCTTGATGAAATAGCAAAGAAGAAGAAAGATAAGCAGCAACATGATAAAGAGGTTAGGGAGAATGTGCAACTTGCAACAGGTGAAGAGGAAGGGACAGAAGTTTTTTCACTTGCTGGAAGCTCAAGTACGCCTCGCAAGCTAGGATCCATGGACAAATTTACACGTCCCATTGATCCCAAGTTAAGCAGTGCTAAAGCTAAGAGGCAACAAAACATAAATGAAGCACTTTGGAAAGAGAGAACACACCAAGTGCAGCAATATGTTGCTAAATGGGTGTATACACATGGTATGTTCTGTACTTAAGTAATTTACCAATCCTTATTGCTGTAGCCTTCATACTTATTCGAATCCATTCATTATTAGTTGCTGGAATTTTAATTTTCTGCACCAATCTTTTTGCAGCTATTCCATTCAATGCTTGTAATAACGATGAGTTCAAGGAAATGGTTGAAGCTATTGGTCAATTTGGTCCTGGTTTCCAACCTCCAACTCAACATGATCTGCAATTAATTCTGTCCAGAATTTTCTGCAATCAATTTTGCACATGTTTGAGACATTTGATTCATTTTTAGCATCTTGGTGGAGGCTTTATGGAGGTGGAGTACCAGATTTGCAATATATGGCTATTAGAATCCTCTCACTGACCTCTAGCTCATCTGGATGTGAAAGGAATTGGAGCACCTTTGAACAGGTCAGTTTGTAGTCTCTACTAATTGCTCTCTATTCCCAACTTAATGTACATGTGCTGATGTTGGAATTCTAATTTATAATGTATAGCATCATACAAAGAGGAGGAATAGGCTGACAACAGAGCGTCTCAACTCTCTGGTATTCATCCAATTCAATAATAAATTGATGTCCAAGAAGGAGAAGATTAAAAGAAAGAGTAACTATGAAGTGCTCCTAAGTAGTGATGCTTCTGAATCCCAAGGATTTTTCTTTGAGAGAGGGGATGCTCATGCATTGGTTGTCTTCAGGGATGAGGAAGATGAGGGAGAAATGCCGGAGACAGGGATACCATGGAGTGTCCTTGAAGATGCAATGGGAACTAATGAACAGCTTCAACCTCGAAGGAGTGCAAGAGTGGCTAGAGAGGTGGATGAAGAAGAGTGGGAATCTGAATCTGAAGATCCTGATTATCAAGATGAT